AATATGTAGAGTCTGATGATATGAGACAGAAGAGACTTACTTTGTTTTTTACAGTGTTGTAATGGTTTGTCATGCTCATTTTCCAAAGCGTATATTACAGAACTCATTCTTTTTGTTACCCCTGTTCAACCTGTCTGCTGTTGATGATGTTTTTGCTTAGCCTGCGGAGCACTCACCCCATGTGTGACTCTCATTTTAAGGTTAGTTTCTAACCAAGCTGTGTAAAACTCCACCTGGTGGTATCACAGTTGAGTACCCCCAAAACTCAGATTTGTGAAGGTCAGCAATGAAAAGACTTGAGTGAAAACACAACCAGTAGTGCCTTGGATTAACATTGCAGCTGTGTGTGTGCGCGTGTGTTCTGGTCATGTGGATATAATTGTATTTGCAGTGTGGCAGTAAATGGCTCTCAGCTGCAAACGTCTTGTCAGTGAGTATTCACTTCGTGTGGTTTGGAGGGGGTCTGAATTGTTGGGCCTGATATAAACACTATACTAATGGCCTCTCTAGACGGTATGCAACAAACCAAAAAGATCTGCTCCACACAACAGGCCTTACACACGTTAGCTGCTGAACTCCAGTTCAGAGAAAATTGTGTTTTGCCCTATTGCACCTGATGGTTATTATAGAAACTGACCACATATCAGTTTTTAAAACTGGAAGAATAACAGTGGCAGGGCAAATTCTGCAAAGAATTCATAAAATTTAAAGTGTTAGTGTGTTTAGAGATTCAATTGCCACTCGGTGGTCAACAATATCATATGATTGATCATTTATGTGCCTTTTGGGCCTTGTGTTTCCAATTTTCTGCCTCTTTTTCCGCAAGAAATCTCTTCATCAGGCATGAATGTTATTAACAAATACTGAGTTTTAGTGAGTTTACATTCAGCTGAAGTTCTGCAGCCACTGTGATCATGTAATATTAATATCAGACTTTACTGAAGCCTTAAGTTGTTTGTCTTTATTAAGCTGTAGTTATTAGCAGTCTAAGTTAGCATTCATGAGCCGCACACAGCATCAGAGAGTAATGTTTGAACAAAACAATGATGTCATTTATTGTCATCTGAAACATCTATAATTATAACTGAGGGGAGAGGTGGGTATATGTGTGTTTTATTGGGGGGAGGGCACAGGGCTTTGCTTAGCCTGCAGCTGCCCAAAAATGAAGGAAGAATCGCAAGACAAAAATAGTCAGAGATGAAAGAGGATAGGAGAGAAGGAAGAATGAAGAGTTGAGTGTGGAAGAAGGAAAGAAGTCAGGGGAAACACACTTGAATTTTAACTGGCTCTACTTTGTACACTGCTCCAAAATTAAAATTAGTTGATAATTTACTAGAATGTGTGATTGTTGAACTACTTTTGGAAAAAAAGAAGAATGTTGTAATAAGCTGTAT